TCTTCTTCTTCTTCTTCTTCTTCTTCTTCTTCTTCTTCTTCTTCTTCTTCTTCTTCTTTTCATGTCCAATTCGGACAAATGGTAAGAATGCAATTAGGGGTTTTTTTTTCACTTCCCAAATCAATTCATCACATTGAATCCCATTCAAGACTTGAAATTTTTTAAATCGTCATCCCTTCATCTTCATTAATACATACATACGGCTTCTTGCTCTAAGTTTCTATAATATACCCCTCCCCATCATTCAATCGTTTGGGCATTCAAAGAACGAACAAGGGAAAGAAAGGAAAAAGAGACTCAGAATCGACAATGATCAAAACCGTGTCCATTCTCCCACTTCCTCTTCTTCTCATTCCTTTTGCATTTGCTTTGCTTCGCTTAAACTCTCATTTCCTGGTTCAGAAAGCAAGAAAAAGAAAAACAAAAAAGAAGAGAACAAGAGAAGAAGAAGAAGAAGAAGAAGGAGAAGAGAAGAAAAAAAGCAAGATAACACATACAACGTTTTGGTATAAAGCAAAAGGGGTCTAGCAATTCCCACCGCCTTGCGCATGCTTTGCATTTCCCTTTTCTTGTCCCTTCCATGACTTTGTTTTCTTTCCCCATCCCCCCAGCCTTTACGGCTGAAAAGAAATAGAAGAGAAGCAAAAACAAAACAAAAAGAGGGGATTAAGAAGAAAAAAAAGTGAAAGAGAGAGAGAGAGAGACAGAGTGGAATCCGTCATACATGTTCGTTATTCCATGCCTTTTTGCCTTTGTGCCTTGAATTTGCTTTGGTTTGCCCTTTTCTCCCTTGCCATTCATAAGTTTGTCGTCATGGAATTCTCTCCCTTCAAAACCCTCCCTTTCCATTCCCTCCACATGACCTCACCACCCATTCTAGTTTCTCTTCGATATCTCTTTCTCTCGTTCCAAACAAGAGACAGAAACAAGAAAAAAAAACAAAACCAAATGATGGGCAACAACATGGCAGGGTATCGTGGAAGAGGACAAAACTCACTCAAGGCTTAGAGAAAAGGCTTCCTACAACTGTTCCTCTTGAACCTTTGTCACTTCTTCCCAGAGCTGCTTGGCGTTTTCCGCCTTCATCTGTTTGCGCACATCCATGTTAGTTATTCCAAAGAAGAATAAAAGTAGGGTTGTCATAAAAAAAAACAAAGAAAAAAAAAGGGTCCTTACCCTGAGTAGGTGCATCTCCAGCTCGCCATCTTGATTGGGCGAGTTGAAGAGCAGGCGTCCATCCTTTGGCTTTTCGCCCTGCGCGTCCCCTCCAAATACCATTTTGCGCGTAACAGCGGCGTTGAGAAGTAGACGGTGGGTACCTTCTGCGCGGAGCACGAAGCGGGCTTTCTTGGGCTCATCCACTGTAATGTTGAACTTGAACGTTCCCACGCCACGCTCCTTCCATGCTCGGTTCGAGCCTTCGCCAGCCATGAGGTACAGCTTTGCGCGACCGGTCCAGATGGTTTGCTCGCCCTCTTCTCCAGTCTCGGGTGCTTTATCAAAGTTAGCTTCGTCCTTCACAGTAGACAAGTAGAAGCTCACGGTGTTGCGAAAGAAGAGGCTGGCTCGACTGCCGTTGCCGTTCCTCTTTCTCGGTACCCTTTTCCAGGTCTTCGTCATCGCCGTCCTCATCTTCGGAAGATTCGTTGTCTGCTGCTGCTCCAAAAGGTTTCTCCTTCTCTTTCAAGCCCTTGATTTCCAGGTTGCCTCCAGGTGCTGCAAAGGATCCAATTGTCTTGACACCGCCCAGACCTCCAAACCCACCGCCTAGCGACCCACCAAAGGAACTTCCGCCAAAGGAAGATGTACCAGAGCCGCCAAGCGCTCCAAATCCACCACCACCCAGCGTTGATGGGGCTGCACTTCCACCAAACGAGGATAGTTTATTGCCACTTGCTGCGCCAAAGGGCGAACTAGTGCTAGGCTTGGAGCCACCAAGTCCACCAAACGGAGACGTAGTCGAGGCTGCAAAGCCACCAAAACCAGAAGCTTTGAACTTGTCATCAGATGTTTGCGGTAGCGAGTCGGGCTTGTCCGAGGTCTTTGCTTGCTGGGGTTTGGCTGCCATGGCGGCGAAAGGCGATGATGCAGAAGTGTTGGCGAATCCGCTCCCCGGTGGAATCTATCAGTGTCAATTTCGCTGCAACTAAGAAAAGACGCATGTGAGCTAACTTACCTTGGTCTTTGACTCTGTATCTGTGATACTCTGGGTCCTTTCTTTGTCTCGCAGCCGCTTGGAATCACGCTCTTCGCTAAGAGCCGTATCTCCATTTGCTGCTCCGATTTCAGTGCCTTTGGTGGTATCTTCAGTGTCGTTCTCGGCTTCCTCGCGCGATCGCTTGTTCTTTGGGCTTGTGTTGGAACCAGACCTCTTTTCGGTCGCAGCTGTCGCAGTAGTGATTGATGCGCTCTTGCTGGGCGACGTCATATGCTCATCTGTGTCGCTTTCCTTGATACTCGAGATGGCGCTGCCGGCAGGTTTGACAGCTATGCCAGCCTCCAGATCCTTTGTAATGTCTCTCGATCTCTTGCGCGCATGGCGCTCAATCTTCTTTTCTGGCTGCTTGTCGGCATCGACATCATCCTCAAAGTCTTCGCGGCTGCGCTTTCGCCGTAACCGTCCGCGCTCGCTGTCTGATCCCGAGACGCTCTGGTCGCCTAGTTTGGTGGTGCCGTTGGTCGCGTCCTTTGTAGCTTGGTCGGTGTCGGAAACGGGGTTCGATGTGGGCGGCGCATCGATTTGGGTGTCTTTGAGCTTCTCTCTCACATTCTTGCCCTCGCTATCGCTGCTTTTGTCGCTCCGCGCAGGAGATGTTGGTGCCGTGCCTGTGATGTCTTTTGTTGTGGGGGTCGAGGTGACGGGGGCAGCAGCTTCGTGCTGTGTCTCCGGTGTGTCGGCCATGGTACAGGTATGCTGCTATTATAGGCTTCAGGGAGGGGCTGGTGTATGCGCTGCGGAGCGAGGATAGTCGGGTTCAAGGGTGGTGTAGAGGGTGGTTCGGAGACCGAGAGTGTGGCCTTGTAGGTTTGGTGTAGCTGGGATTGGGTAAATAGGAAGAATGGCAAGTGCAGGGTAGTGAGGGAGTGGTCAAGTTGCGGTGGCCAGGTGCGACAGTCGCGCAGGCGATGCTCTGGCACGGCTAGCGGCGAGCTGAAGGTCAGACAATGGGATGCGGCAGGTCTTACCCGACAGTGTCAACAAGGACAGAAGGGGGGCAAAAGGCCCTGGGAATGGGAATATCCTGCCGTGGCTTGCTTTGTTCCAGCGGAGGGAAGTCGGTCGTCGATCGAGTGGTCTAGTAGTTGTAGTGGAGTCGGTCAAAGCGCCGCGTCCCAAATTTCCACTACAATGCGCCAGTGCAGCGGTGACTGAGAAATGCCAGGGCCAGTCCCGAACGCGTCTGCAGTGAGAGGTGGGTGGTGAGCAGTGAACCCACGCTCTGTGTGCTGAGTGATTCGCCGAGGAGCAGAGGATTGGCGCTTCTGCCCGTCGTGGTCGAGTGCGTTGTCGCTGCAAAGACCAATGACGAAGTGGGGAAGACGACCTGCCTAAACACAGGCGCGGGTCGCTGCAACTCGTGCGTATCGGGCGGTTTTTGGTGCATGCACGTCAGACTTGCAGCATCATGAAGGCGTGTCAAACGCGCTCTAGTATGGGGTGCTGCGAGTATTCCAGGTGAATTTACATATGTGAACATGTTCAGGGCCGAATCGGCGCCATCTCATCAAGCTTGCCCTGAACGCCCGGGACCGTGTCATGCATCCCCTACCAAATAGCACACTACTTTTACACCAAACCCATAGTAGCCCATTCCACACTAGCTGATGAAGCAAAGACAGCCCAGCGCAACGTAAAATACAAACAAGGGGTATACTGCAATCCCGACTCGGTTCCTCACTACTCCAGATCCGCCCATGATGCTCACCCCAGCTGCCAATGACCATGCAATCAGAACTACGTAGACGGGTATGCGCACTATGACGGGTATGCCGACAGCGCTGAGCACCGAGGCAATGACAAGCGGGAACAGAGTGTAGCCGATAATCGAGATGGACTGGAAGAAGGCGCTGCAACACCGTTAGCATCTGTGTCGTGAATGCGTGAGAACCATGTACGAACATGTTGCCGCCCAGTAACTTGATCTGTAGCGTCACTACAGCCTCTCCAATCCACACCATGGCAAAGACGCCGGAGAAGACAAGGTCTTTTTGGTCGCCCTTGGCCCCCCAGGACAGAAACAAGCTCAGCAGTAAGCAGAAGATGAGCGGCCCCCAAAGGTCCCAGTCTCTTAACCCCTCGCTCATACCGCCCTGGAGAATGACATCGGCATCTGGCCATCTGCCTGCAATGTTCCTGAGACGACCGCCGACGCCGTCTGCTTCACCGCGCTCTGCGGCCCCAATACCTCCACCGCGCTGCATCATGCCGCCCAGCAGGTACTTGGGGTATAGCACCTGCTTCATCTTCTCCCAGATAGCAAAAATGTCTCTCGAAAGCGTCTCCCATACCGTCTCGTCAATGGTGTTTGTTGGCGCGCGGCGGTCCTCGCCCGGAATGCTCGACGTTAAGTAAGACTGTGTCTGGGCGGCGTTGCGTTGGATGTTCCCCGTCAGCGGCGCGCGGTCCGACGTGCCTTGCAGAGGGTCGTCAAGGTCATCGAGGGTAGCTGGTGATGGTTAGCTCGCCGTCGACCGTTGCCTCGTGTATGTACATGTGGAGGGGTGGGTAGTAGGCTGCTGCTGCTGCTGCATGCGACGCACCATCGTCCGGGTCAATCAAGTCACGCTCCACTGCATCATCATCGTAGGGATTGGCGCTCGTTGCGGAACTGGGCATCATTGCCGCCATGTTTCAGTGGAAAAAACCCTGCGTTGACAGGTTGCGGGCTGCTTCTCCAATCGGGCAGGTATCGTGGGTTGATGGAGAGGCTCTGCTGTCCTTAACCTCTACGCGCAAGCTCCCGGAGGTATCGTGGAGGGTGTGCTACCGGATCAGGCTAGTACTCCGCCGGCAGGGAAAGCTTAACCCTGTTAGCGTGCACCGCTTGACTTACAGCCTGCAGCCCGCCCATGTTGCATTCTCGCTGTCTCGTGCTCTCTCGCTATATATATGTACTTCCGTAAATCCTGCAAGGCCGCCTCTGTTCACCCAACTATCTTCACCGGCAAAATATCGACGACATGACTGACCCGGTCTTGAACGACATTTCCCACAGGCGCTTCAATCTGTTGCGAGGAAGTTGGATATTAGTTTCTCCACACCGGACAAAGCGTCCATGGCAGTAAGTACAGTCGTACAAGCATCTGTCGCATAGACGCCTAATTTCTCCGTAGAGGCATGCAAGAGTCGCCCTCGAAGACGACACTCCCCGACTATGACCCAAAGGTAATCCAGCACTCGAGCAGAGTCCCGTACATGACTACACTACTAACTCCAAATAGTGCTATCTATGTCCGTCAAATACGCGGGCTAATGGCGAGCACAACCCCAAGTTTGAGAACACTTTTGTTTTTGTCAACGACTACAGTGCCGTCATGGAAGAGCAGCAAGAATATCGCCCAGACTCCAAAGATGGTTCCCTTGCTTCCCGCCTGCTCCGCGCTGAAGCCGTTACTGGAAAATGCTACGTCATATGTTTCTCCCCATCCCACAACCTCACTCTGGCCGACATGTCACCCGCTCAGATTGTACCAATCATAGAAACCTGGACGAACATTTATGTTGCGCACCTGGATTCAAAATCACCGCTGGCTAAACTTGCTTCGGCAATCAACATTCCACCGCTACCACAGGGTCCTCTTACCCCACCAAGCGCGCAGTACCGGTACATGCAAATCTTCGAGAACAAGGGTACGGCAATGGGCTGTTCTAACCCCCACCCTCATGGCCAAATCTGGACAACCACTTCACTTCCTGAAGAGCCCGCGACCGAACTTGTGCAGCTGAGCAAGTACCGTAAAGAAAATGGCGGTTCCCACATGTTGGTGGATTACGCCGAGTTAGAGTCAAAAGAGAAGGCACGTACGGTATTTGAGAACGAGAGCTTCTGGGCCGGTGTTCCGTACTGGGCCGTCTGGCCGTTTGAGATTATGATTGTCTCGAAGCAGCACAAGCGGTCACTTGTGGATTTCACAAAAGACGAGCGCGCACAATTAGCAGAGGCTATCGCTGAGATTACAAGGCGGTATGACAACCTCTTTGAGACGCAGTTCCCGTATAGTAAGTCAGCAAACCTCATTTGTAGCAACAGATGTGGCTAACGAATACAGGCATGGGACTGCATCAGGCTCCTCTCACGGGCACGGCCGACGAGATTGAGTGCAGCCATTTCCATATCCACTTCTATCCACCACTACTGCGAAGCGCCACAGTCCGCAAGTTCCAAGTCGGCTACGAGATGATGGCCGAGCCTCAGCGTGACATCACGCCTGAGCAAGCAGCAGAGCGCCTGAGGAGTTGTGACGGCGAGCTCTACCGTAGGAGGCTCGAGGCATCACCCGTAACCAACGGCGTGAACGGCGTAAATGGCGTAAATGGCGTCAATGGTGTAAACGGTATAAACGGCACCCATTAGAGCACTTACCCGAAGCATGCTCCTAATACCCAGTTTTCTGACTTTTTTTGCGCGCCCGACAACTGCTTATATATTTGCCGTAAGACGCTCTTACGATGGGAGAAGATACCCAAGACCCGAGACGAAAGGAAATGATGGTCAGATGAGAGTTGCATACACCTAGCATGAGGAATGTCAAGTTAGACATTAAGACGTTTTCTTTTCTTTTTACTAGATACGAAATCATACATTACCCAAACTACCCCAGAAAAAATCCCGAGTCAAACCTAACCCGTGTCCATATAAAACGCTTCCCAAAATGCTACAAAAATATGTTGGGAAACTTAGATTGCACAAGCAAATATTATAAGGGGAGGGGGCGGCGCGGGGAGCACCGAAAGTCTAGTCAACGTCATAAGCCCAGAATGGCGGGGCAACACACAGACAGACAGACACACATGTGCCCACGCCATGTGCCCCACCAAACCCAACATCCCTCGGAACCTGTTCTCAAACTAAACCCCTCACCACCACCAGAACACCTCCAACTTACACTACACACACTCTCTATCTCTGTTTGAATACTCTGATACATCTACCAACAAAATGCCTTCCGCAAAGTTCACCGAAGTCTACCAAAAAGTCAGCGCCATGGGCGAGAAGCTCAAGGCTGCTGGCAAGCAAGGTCCCAGCAACGATGAACAGCTCAAGGTGCGCTTCCCCCCTTTCCCTTCAATGTACCCTCTGCTCCTCTCTATACTGCTATCTTAAGCTTCACCTACCCGGGGCAAGGCCACCACAAGCAGCATGTAGGAGAAAAAAGCAATAGCTATGCATGTGGCATGGGGGGGAGGGGGGCATGCAGGAAGGCTATTCTTGCATCTCTTTGTGCATAAACAAGTTGTGAAGAAGATGAAAGCTGACGACGGTATAGCTTTATGCGTATGCCAAGATTGCGAATGGCACGGATATCAACGAGGCGAAGAAGCCGGGCATGTTTGATCTTACTGTATGTCCCCATTCCCTCCCCCCCCTACCCTTTCGCGAGCAAGCGAACGAAAACACTGCAATCGACGCCCTGTGTAAAAGAGCGGAGAAGGAGGGATAGGCTGGATACAGAGCGTCCGTTACGAAGATGAGTGGTTGGCGATATAGGAAGGGAGCTAACGGTAGATGCAACAGGGCAAGGCCAAGTACAACAAGTGGAAGGAGGTTGCCGATGCTGGAACGACTCAGGAGCAGGCTGAGCAAGAGTACATCAAGGCTGGTGAAGAGATACTAGCCAAGTATGACAACTAGTGAGATGAAAGATGGGAAAGCCGTGATGCCACAAGAACAATCAATGGTGAATGCATAAAAGAATGAAAAAGGGCTTTGAGCTTTGATGTATTATTCTGGTTTCTATTTCTCATGTTTGCAATGCGTTACTACATATGTTCGGCTGGCACTGACACGTTCATATTAATATCAAAGTGATGGTAAGAGGTATACCTTGGTACCCTTCAACGACCCCATCTAGCCCAAGTAAGTCCATACCGATCTGGCTCCTCATACGCCAACGTCGCACACCAAGGTCGCTCATCAGCCGAGTACGGTACGAGTGGTAGATTGTACGGCATGCGGAACCCAACCACCGTCTCTCTCTTTCCCTCGCCGTGTTTGCCCGTCTCTGGGTTATCAGCCCCGAAAACCGGGACCATCGTCGATGAATGCTCAAATTCTGCAAATAGAGCAGGCCACATCACGACACCTGTTTCCCAGGACTGAACCCGGATTTCTTCATTTTTGTTCATCACGTCGCCCCATGCTTGCTTACTTAGGTTGGCGCTTGTGAGTAGAGCCCAATCGATGGTCGTGTGGGTTTCGTCGCTGAAGCGAATGTAGGTTTTGATGTGTGGTGCTGCTGTGCCGCGGTGTGCTTCTTGCTGAGATGGATCGGGGCGGGATACAGGTGTCCAGTGACAGAGTATTGGATGCATGTATTCGAGCTGTTTTTGCTGCTGGACGGATTGGAATTTCCAGTGGATGGACCCACCAGCAGTGTAACCATCTAGGGGCATGCGGATCTCGGCTGGAGTTGGAAATACAACGCTGAACTTGGGTTCTGGTGCTTCTGCTGCATTGGACTCTTGCTTGGTGAACAACATAGACGCTTTTGTGAATGACGATGACGCCTCCTCTTTTTCTGTATCTTTAGCATCTGGACAGCGCGAAAGAATAGACTGAAAATGGAAAAGCCATGTTGGTGTCGCACCCAATGTCGCCACTGACGAGATTTGAGTGACGATGTGAGGACGCAAACTATCCCCTGATGCTTTGACTGGAATACTAGAAAGTATCTGGTCGAGCCCTAACCAGCCAAAAGCAGTGTGCGAAGGACCAGCTGCAGTAAGCTTTTGTTTTGATGGCGCGCTTCCAAGGAACGCTGCCCGAATGCTCGAGAAGTCGTAGTATTTAAGCTGGGAAGTCAAAGCCCCCAGACGCATTCCATATGCATACAAGTAACGAAGAAGATCAACTTTGAATCGTTCGCCGCTCCCGATAGAGTGGATCTTGCTAGAGTTTGATTGCTCCGACGTTGTGTGCCGCAAGAGTGGAAGCAACGGTGACGCCCAGACTGCTTGTGTCATGTTTGCCCAGTCGCGGTGAATCATGTTGGCTGTATGGATAACGACCTGAGCGGTATCATCGTGTCGGAAGAGAATGAGCATTTTCGAATGGTGAGTACCAAATGGGTCCGGGATATATGCACTTATGAGCTCAATGTTGGGATATCGTTCTGCCGTTTCCTATGAACTATCAGTATTCAACGTGTCAATATCCGAAAAATGACGGTTGATATGAGCATCAAACTCAGAGAAATTATCGTATTTACCAATAATGCAATCCTGTTTTTGTCGTCTCCCCTCCAGAAGCCATGCACAATCTTGACTTTGACCATGTCCCTAATGTCCCTATCAAAATGTTGCCTACATGTTAGTCAGTACCGAAACTCTGCATACGTATCCCTGCCCAAGATTTCAAACCCGGAAAATACTTGCATAATGAAATCCAGGTCGAACAGGTAATTAAAGTTCCAACACTCCTTGATCAATGGGTCTCCCAGCAAATCTGTCAAGCCCACCGTATCGACATTCTTCTCCTTGGGCAGCTTCTCGATCCTTGTGAGTCGCACTGGCGATGGGATGAAACGTGTCTCTAAATCAGCATCTTTCTCTTTCACGGTTTCCCTGCTGCCTGATGTAGATGGCTCCGCCATCCCCAACGACACCTCCTCTTTCACCACACCATCGAAGCTCCAACTCGGCGTAAAATCAACACCCAATCCACACCCTACCCGCTTCGACAACGATGGGGGGCTAATCGGCCTATCGAGACTCTTGGTTGATTCCGTCGAAAAAGGCTGGTTCTCAAGCACTTCCTCTTTAGGCGAATCAACAACATCGAGTCGACGGCGCTTACTCGGCGGAGTATCTTCGGATTCTTGTTGCATCGCAGATATTAGGTCATCTACTAACTACCGAGCCGGTAGTGAGTTATTAGCAAGACAGCCTTTTTTTTTAGTAATTTAGAACAAGGATGAAAAAGAAAGGGCTGGAAGACGGTGCAAGAAGGGAAGGGTTTAAGTAAGGGTCAGGCACGGACCATTTGGTGGGAAATAGGCAGGCACCCTCTTACTGATTCAAGTGTTGGGGCAAAGAGGAAGGAAGGCGTCACGGCAGCAGTCACAGTACATAATTGCACATAGCTCTAAAGGGTGAAGTCGATGATAACATCACGTCTTAATATATAGACGGTAAAGCTCACTTTTCCAAGCAAACTGCTTATCAAAGGCTATAAACATACACGGTCTAATGGTACTTGAGCATCATACCCTGATACTCGATAGCGAAAGGAATGAAAGGAAAAGAACAAACTTATTATGCCACTTCTTCAAAGGTGGAAAGGCATTCCCCCCAAACGCCGAGAGTATCGCTAAAATCGAAAAAAGGAAACATTCTATGCCGCGCTGGCGCTGAGCATAGGCTGAGCAACCTTGGTGACTTGGTTGCCAGCGCGGATGATTGGGTTGCCTTGCTCGTCCTTGACGATGTTGACCTCCTTGTTCTCCTTCTGGGCACGCTTCCAGATCTCAACCTCGCATCCACCACGGATGACACCGACCCTCATGGTGGAGAGCAGGTTGTGGGCAGCGTTGGAGTGGAAGTAGACACCACCGTTGAACATGGCAGTAGCGTCTTTGCCAATGCCGCTCTTGATCAGGGTCTTGCCACCGGGATGCTCGTTAATGAAATCAGTAACATCGTGAACAACACCAGCGACAGCGATCAGACCACGGCCGTTCTTAGCCTGCTCAACGTAGTCGTCCCACTCGATGACAGGAAGCTGCTCAAGAGGAACACCCCAGTCGAGCTTGGCGCGCTTCTGGTCGATCTTCTTCTGGAGTTGCTGGACACGGCCCTTCTCGATCTCGTTGGCACGGAACTGCTTGAGGTTGGAGGCGAGGCCGAGCTTGCTCCACAGCCAGATGGACCACTTGGTGGGGTCATACTGGTGCCACTCGATAGCGTTGCGGTAGTCGGAGGGGAACTCGTGGTGGAAGTTGTGGTAGCCCTCACCGAGAGTGACAAGCGCAGTGATGACGTGATCCCTGGGGCTGTTGCGGTCGTCAAAGGGCTGGTCGCCGAGCCAGTGAGCGAGTGAGTTGACACAGAAGGTGGCCTGCTGGACGAAGAAGATGCGGAGGATGCCAGCGTAGATGAAGCCACCCTTCCAGTCGTTCCAGAGGAGACCAGCGACAGCAGAGGGGAAGATGAGGCCCATGAAGATGACAACCTTGATGTAGTTCTTGTGCTGCCAGACAACGACAGGGTCCTCGTTAAGGTCGGTGATGTCGGTACGGCCAATGCGCTTGGGGTTCTGCTTCATGACCATCCAGCCAAGGTGGCTGTAGAGAAGTCCCTTGCGTACGCTGTAGGGGTCCTTGTTGGTGTCGGTATAGCGGTGGTGGGCACGGTGGTCGCGGCTCCACCAGCGGATGGAGCCCTCGACAGCACCGCCGCCAACAAGAGCGAGGAAGATGCTCAGAGGAAGGCTGGCATTGTATGACTTGTGTGCCCAGAGACGATGATAGCCGGCCGTGATACCGAGACCGGTCCAGAAGTAGTAGATGACGGCCCAGAGGGCAGTCTGCCACTTGAGCGGTGTCCAGAAGGCAGCGATGCAGCCACTGATGGGGACTCCGATGATGAAGGTAACCTGAAATGCTACGTTAGCAAACACTGTGTGCTGCGGGGACACAACTCGAGACTTACGTTGAGCCAGTTGACGTGCTTGTACCAGTTGGACTTTGTAATGGGGGTATCGGTGATGTGTGGCTTCTTGGGGTCGTACTTGGGGTTGCGGTTGGGCTCCGAGGTGCTTGCCATTGAGGAGGGCTGCTTGACGTAGTCGGGGTCGACGGCCATCATGCCAGCAGTAGGCTGGTGAGAAGGCATGTTGAAAGATGTAGCGGTAAGGTGGTGTGTAGGGAAAGCGAATGAAGTGATGGGGGGAGACGGCTAGCGACTCAAAAAAAGATTGTCCGGGCTCCGGGGGTGAGCAAGAGAGCTCGAGCAACGACGGAAAGCTTCACCCACAGTCGAGTCAACGACGAGGCAGAAGGTAGTCGGAAGGGAGGAGCAACAAAAGTTGGGATGGAGGGGGGAGAGCAAAAGTGGCGGTGGGCAGGACGACATTAATATAAGGCGGCGGGCAGTTTGTCTATCCCAACACTTTGCGAGCAGGTAAGCGAAAGACTGGGACCTGCATTGTCAAGCGCGTCTGCGTCGCCGCCGCCAAAGGGCCCTTTTTTGCCGTAACGTAATTTATGGCCCGAAACGTGTTAGTACTGCCTCTCACCCTGGCGGCGGCAGGGTCCCGGGGCGAGAAAATTTCGGGACTCCGCGCAGGCCTCGCGCTGATCTCGGCATCGAGAACGGCCTGGGTGGCGGTGCGCGCGGGCGTCCAACCTGTTGCAGCTGGCCCCAGGGCCTGCACCTCATGCCTTTTTTCCCCAGATTCCCGCATCGCGCTCGGCCTGCTCCTTGACTAGGCAGGCAGAGACATGGCTGCCCGTTGACTGGGGAAGGGAAGGAAAAGGAAAGGAGAAGGCGAAGAAGAAGGAAAGAAAGAAACGAACGCCCAAATTGATTATCCCCAAAAAGCGGTCTGATTCAGAATCATCGGCACTGTGTACTATGAATGTGTGTGTGTCCTTACAAGCGGATTGCCTCACTGGGCATAGAAGCTCACGCCGTGGTGATGCCACTCAAAACTCGCCGTCATCGCTAATCGGCTAGCCGTAGTCTTTGCTTCTACATGTCCCCGTCTAGCTAGTAAAATGCTAGAGTATTCTATACAAATCTGGTTCGCACTGCAATCCGGCCAGCCTTTTCACCTCCACCACCAGGAATCCTGCCTTGATATTTTTTGTTGATATCGCTAAGGCTTCCGGGCATCCGGCTACGGTCTGCACACTTACGTATGCCATTATGTACCTTTTTTTCAGATTGCAACTTTAAAGAATTGTCTCGATAATGATCTGACCGAGTTTACAACATCTGCTCTCGGACAGTGTGGCAAAAAAAAAGATGTGTCCCCCCCCCCCAAAAAAAAGGGTCGTGTTCGGCTGTCGTCCAAAATACAGCGGGTCCCCCAGCCCCATTGCCCATGACTCTTTGCACTGCACTTGATTGAACGAACAAACCTCACAACCCATGAAAAGCCATTCTGGGCCCTCGAAGCGTCTTACCACGTTTGCTCAGCCAGTCCCCAGCTTGAAACATTGCGAGTGTGTAAAGAAAAAAATTATTACAGTGAAATCGCCGCAGATAGAAGGAAGGGGAGAGGGAGGGGTATGTGCGCTGTTCAAAGTCACCAGTCCTCGCAAGCTCTACCAAATCGGGAACTGGCGCTTCCTCAACACCTTGCCGCCATTCCTCATCCCATACCAGCGCAACGACATGGCCTTACATCACCCTTCCCCTCCTACCAATAGTATCACATCCGTTATCCCTCGGTTCCAGCCTTTCTTCTTGATTTGCAAACCCCGCTAGATGGGGTGTGTCAGGACCCCCCCAAAAAAACGTCGACGTGGTGTTGTCGTCTCATGCTCATGCCACACATACATACTTTTGGCATGCAGTCTTTTTGGTGGCGGGTAGGGCTGAAGACTACTACATGGTCATGCAATATGTTTGCTGTCAACGGTGCTACTAGTAGCTGCGGAAAATAATTAAAAGTCTCCACACAACTATGTGTACGTGCGTGTGTGCGTGTGGCCACACTCCATCTTGCATGGACTTGAATCGTAGATATGACGGCGTAGAGCGCTTGTAGTTTACTAGAACGCTCGATGGCGACAGGTGCACGGACGGCTGGTATGATGATTGGTAAGGAGATTGTAGAAGATTGAACAGGAAGGTTAAACAGCCGGCTACCCGGTACTTAGAAGAACGAATGAAAGAGCCCTTAGTTTCAAACTCCGCGAGAGACCATGATTTCGATTCCCTCTTAAACTTTTTTTTGCATTCCTAGAAAATTATTCACAAGCACACAAATATCACCCTCATGCTGCCTTGCTAGCCACAATATCCGAACTCGCTCTTCCCTCAACATCTACATCCGCACCGTTGGCACCCTTGCGACCCTGATCCCACTCGCCGCTCTCACCCGCCTTCTCATCCCCATCCGCCACAATCTCCGGAGTCTCTTCGTCCTCAATCTCTTCGGGCAGCACCAAGTTCAGCACAACCGTGACAAGCGCCACGACCGCGAATCCTGTCTCGAGCACCAGCTCAATAGCATTGTAGAAGCCCTTTAGCGAAGTATTGGGTCCACTATAGGTAAACACAAACGAGAACCAATTCGGGACCATTGTAGCGCCGAAGCCAAGCGTGAAGCCCGCAGTGAGGATAAACCGGTTCCTGCGAGTGAAGGGCATGGTGCTGATGATGCGAATGCCGGACACGGTCACGGCACTGAAGAGGAAGGTCGTCATGCCACCCAGGACAGCCGAGGGAATGGCAACGAGAGCCGCGGCGAATTTTGCAAAGATACCCATGACGATGAGCCAGAAACAACATGCGTAGCCCGCTTTGCGGTTGGCACAGCGTGTCAGGGCTACGACGCCGCAGTTTTGCGCAAACGTCGACATGGGCGTGATGGTGCAGAGCGCGGCGATCATACCTGCGATGCCGTCGGCGAGCACGCCGCCTTGGATGCGTGAATCGAAGAGTGGGCCATCGACTTCGACGCGCGATACGTCGCATGTGGCTGTGATGTCACCAATGGCTTCCATGGCGCAGACCATGTAGACTGCTAGCAGAGGTAAGATGATGGGTGGGTAGACGGTCAGCTTGAATGTTTGAACCCAGATGAAGGACACGACGGGGGCAGAGTCAATCGACGACTTGTCGAAGTAGCCCGTGGCACCTGCAATGATGCAGCCAACAAGAAGCCCGATAACCACAGCAGTAGACTTCATAATCGGGGCTCCGAAACGCTCACAGAGAATGATGGTAATGAAGACGCTGAACCCAAGTCCAATGAACTCTGCACTACCCCAGGGCAATGCATGCGGAGCATTGATGTTGGGACAAAGCTGGAAGAGACCAGATTCAGGGCGACTTTTACAGTCACCAGAGCCTCCAGCCCAGTTCTGGAATCCAGTAGTTACGAGTTTGACTCCGATGAGGAGAACAGTAGGCCCGGTGACTAGAGGTGGAAACACCTTCTTGAGGATGCGTGGACTCGTAAATGACATACCGATTTCGAGCAAAGCGCACAGTGCACACGTGCCTAGGATAGCTCCATAACCGTCAGGGCAGGGCAGCCTCGTACCGTCGGCAGCCACAGGACAGAAACCTGTATCATACATCTGGCTCAGCGCACCTGTCGCCACAGGGATGGTAGCAAACGAGGTTCCCACGACAGAAATCAAGCCGGTGCCAATGTAATATGGTGTCTTCCAGATATGAAAGCGGGTAATCTGTACAGAAGACAGGATACCGCAGATGATAAGTGATGTGGATACCAGATAGCGTTGTTCATCGCCGCTCAAATTGGCGGCATTGGAGAGGATAATGGGAGGCGTGATGACACCTGCTAACATGGCAAGAGAATGTTGGAATCCAAGAAGGAGAGCCAGGATGACTGGTACACGGTCGTTTAGGCCGAAGAATGGTGCTGCTCTGCGTTCTCTCCTCATAAATGGTAGGTTTGGTCGGAAGAGAAAGGCATAATCGTATGTGCCAACGAGACCCTCTCTGTATGCAGTTAGACTATGAAACGGCTTGAAATGGTAATAGGGTGCAATTTACTTTGTAGTGAATGCCTTCCTCATCCGCCTCGCCTTGTCTTTCCAGTTGCGCCGTGGGGTGTGGTCAGGCCCAATCATGTCCGCCATGTTTACTTTTCAGAGGTCGAAACTACCGTCTGGCCGGTACACTGGAAGCGGGAGCCGCTTTGTTCTCGTGCTGATTTTTTGCAGTCTGTAAAACTCTGGCCTGAGGGGTCCGATAAGGATGCTTATAGTCGGAAGAGACCTGAGAAGATTGGCGAGGTTGCAGGTCGAGGCTGATGATACGCAGATGTACAGCCAGTCGCGCTGCTTGTTCCAGGATTCAGTCGCTTCAGATCTATGTCATAAGGGATTGAAATTCGCTACCGGTACGAGTGATATCGATATGAGTTTTAATGCTGCAATCAGAATCGAGTCTGCGGGGAAGTGGCGTGGAGATGGCAAAAACCCATCCAAGCGGGAATGCTAGTCGAGCTGGCTCGCTGTGTGTGATGACTTGCTCAAACTGGAAACAAGTCCTCATCCCCATCTATATAGAACATGTGGAGCATGCATCCGTATCTCTGGCACCAAAATACCCACGATACACAATTGTTCACGGACAGTTCCTCGACCCTGGTCTATGGCCCACTCCCGGACCGCCAGAGATTGGAGCTGGCCGACGATTATCGTCAACCGCCGGGAATACGTACTTTTTTCCACGGCAAAAGGCTCGCTAGGGCACACATTTCCCAGTGGCAGAGGGGCGACACCCGCGTGTGTGCTAAAACGATCGCCTGTACTGATAGCCAGCGAGAGCGTGATTGGCCGGAGCTGGTTGAAGCTATTTGGCGGGGCGGTCCACTCCGATGATAGAGAGCATACGAGACATTGCCGGAAATGCATCCCACACTGTGCAAGACGCATGCAGCAGCAGCATCTGATACCAAACGTTTTCAGCTTGCGGTATTTCGCCGCATACCGACGGAACGGTACTTTGCGCGATCAGAAACTGGGAGAGACTACAGTGTGCTGGGGAGCGTGGGGACGTCATTACCTCGTTGATGGCCGGTTATCGGCGCCCTGATCCCATAGCCGAAGCAACCATGAAATATACCAACGCCAGGAGGTTTTATCTACCAGCTTCCCTTTTTGTGCATTTGCATTGCTTGATCCTTCGTGGCTGATTCATGGGTTTCCCCTTTTACTGTACATGCTTCCTCGTCGTCTCTTCATTTCGATCGATGCTCCTTGAACGGTATATGAGATCAACCTCTAGCTTCACCTCTAAACACGGTGCTACTCTCTAGTAACTATCGAGAACCACCTGGTTTGGTTTGTGCTTTTCGTCGCTGAACAGCTGGCCTTTTGTGTATAGCCATACTCACCTTACGACGCCTAGATAGACGACGAACCCACTTCCCTCGCGCAGTTCCTCACCCAGCATTTTATCGGGAACCTGCCACGCCCAAAACTTTTCGTGGAAGCTTTTCAGCCAAATTTCGAATACGTCTGGACTGCGCAATTGCTGTGCTATTAGGCATATTGTAGGCTTCGTTTCATCCTCTTGTAGCTTGCATATAGCGGCGCAGGTAGAATTCAATGGCTCGATGAGGGCTTCGTTATATACACAATCGCAGGATATTATGAGGTTGACGGGAGGAAGATGCGAAATGGAGTCAGTCTCCCAATCTAACTCCATGGTGGTAATGCGGTCTTCTGCACCTGCTGCTGCTGCTGCTGTGTCGTCGGCCTTGGCATTCCGTTTACCACTACCTTTTGCATTCTTGCTTTTGCGGTGTTGCGAGAAGACAGTGTGCAGATTCTCAGCAATGTTTTGACGCAAGAGCTTTAACACGTATGACTGGTCCGTGGCTATGTATTTGCCGACTCTTGGGCCCAGAGTCAGGGCAACAATACCAGAGACGCCGGCACCGAGCTCAAGGACAGTAGCGGAAGGAGACAGGAGGGAGCTGGTGGCAAGGAAATTGGTGGGGGAGGTGATCCAATTGGCGAAGAGGGGAGTGACTCGCCAGATTGCTGCGATGGACAGGTGTTAGTGAATGATGCAGATTGAGATGCAGGTGTTGCAGGCATGCCTGGTGTTGGTTGGGTAAACAATGACGTCGACGCGGCGAATGCTCATAAACGCAAGGTCGAGTGCAATTGCAAGAATGCTCTCGTCTTGTCTGCAGTGATGGCAGACGCAGGTCATACAGCACGAAGAGCATATGCTTTGCACTAGACACGAGCCGGCTCTGCTTGTGGCCAAATGTGGACATGACACGGGAGTGTGGAGAGAGACAGCTCCCAAGCAAAGCCAAGGACGAGCTGAAGGGGACATAGTCTGGGGGAAAGCACGACGCAGGAAATGGCCACGGCAACGGCAACTTCCACGCGGGTAACTAAGACAAGTGCAGTCACGACAGCCACAACACACACACATACCTGCACCGGTAGTTCCTGCCTTGCGGTCAGAGGTCAGGAGACTCTTGGAGTGGTGGATGACCAGCTGGTGGCCCGCCACGGTGAAGTCGAGCGTCGCCGCCTTGGAGTCGAAGAAGCCGAGCGACTGAGAAGGAATGTCTTGCGAGAAGACGACGAATGCCTCTGCACAATAGGGTAAGCGTGATGCGCCATGGTGTGTTGATGATGTCGGGGTTTTCGCCTTTCTGACACTTTTTACGTGGCCGTGGTAGAGGAGCGAATGGCAGAGAGGCGACAAATACGTCGAACCGAGGATTAACTTGAAGCTGTGATTCGAGGGCATGGTCCCAGAGACTTGTTACACACCTTCTTCAGGGTCCGCGATAGGATCTGATCCCAGCAAAGCCGTCAGATCCATTGTGGTGGAGACGGTGCAGGTGATGGGGGCTGGGGTGCCTGGCCTGCTGGATGCAGATTGCAGATTGCAGATTGCAGGGTGGGCGGCGGTAGTAAGGTTTTGGCTAACCTGTGCCTCTTCGAGGAACAACAATGCACAAGTGCTATGAAAGGAGACTGCCTGTCTTGGGACGCGACTTTGCCTGCTTGGCCCACGGCTCAGCCTCGGCCCTCTGCCCAAATGGCTGGTACCGGGCGCGCTACCGGCAAGTAAGTAACCAGAGCAGCGCGTCGAGAGGACAGGTGGCCGCCTCCGTGTGCCTGTGCTGGAGATGTCTGTATCTGTGTCCGTATCTGTGTGTGTGCAGCCTCGTAGATCAGATATGGCATTGACACTGCAGGAAAAAAAGAGTGGAGCACCCGGCTCGTGCACGGCGGCCACCAGCAGTAAGTGGACTGGCTGCACCTATGCCTAGCTGCACCTGAGTCGCCCAGCTCTTGCTGTGGCTGTGAGGTCATTGCCTAGAAGCTCGGCCGTGCAGCACATCGCTTTAGCGACATGAGCACGACAAGCGCATAAGCTCCCCAACAGCAACCCCCCCCCCAGCACTGTATCACTCTGTCATCCGCCATTCTCCGCTGGCGACGATACTCCCTCGTGCTATTTTCTATAATAGCCCTCTCTGCCATCCCCCTTTCCCTCCTGCTTGATACCCATACTGCCCTTTCCCACCCACTGCGCTCTCTACACGCAGACACCGCCAACATGCCACAGGACCTCAAGAAGTTGATGCCCCAGGCAAAGGCATACAGGACTGGTCCCTACACCTGTGAAGTCCCCAATGCCCAAAAGGTAGATGGCGAGACGGTACCGCGCCGCAACAACGCGGCCAAAGATGGTCTCATCTTGAAGCCCCACGACGAGGTCTCGACTCTCTACGACATCCTGCGACACTCGGCCGCCAAGTTTGGAAATGCAAAGGCCGTCGGTGCGCGTCGCATCGTCAACATACACGAGGAGACGAAGAAGATCAAGAAGATGGTCGACGGCAAGGAGCAGGAAGTCGACAAGAAGTGGCAATACTTTGAGCTCAGCCCCTACAAGTACAAAAGTTTTGTCGAGTTTGAGCAAATGGCTCTCTCAATAGGTTCGGGTCTCAAGTCGCTGGGTCTCGAGCCACAAGACAGGCTGCACCTCTTCGCCGCCACTAGCATGCAATGGCTGGCTTCTGCCCACGGTAAGCAAATGCGCAACATGCATGCACTGACACGGCCCTAATCACTTGTACAGGCGCGCTTTCCCAGTCAATGGCCATTGTTACTGCCTATGACACGCTCGGAGAGGAGGGCCTCAAGCACTCTATGCTTCAGACCAAAGCAAAAGTCATGTTTACCGACCCAGAGCTGCTGCCCCGGCTCGTGAAACCCATGAACGAGGCCAAGGACGTCAGAGTAGTTGTTTACTGCACAAAAAACGACCCCAAGCAAAAGGATATTGATACCCTCACTCAGGCGCATCCCCACTTGAAAGTCATCAGCTTTGACGACCTGATCAAGCTGGGTGAGGAGAACCCCGCAGAGCCAATTCCGCCAAAGGCAGACGACCTGGCCTGTATCATGTATACTTCTGGATCCACTGGAACCCCCAAGGGTGTTATGATCAAGCACCGCAATGTCGTTGCTGCCGGTAAGTACTCTCGGATCTGTAATCACAACGCGCCCCATGCTAACCATGTGCCCAGTCGCTGGTGTCGATGTTATTGTAGGAAAGTACCTTGGACCTGGCGATGTGCTCATCACCTATCTCCCTGCCGCACACATCCTCGAGTTCGTGTTTGAAAACGCCGTTCTCTACTGGGGAGGCACCATGGGTTACGGCACAATCCGCACGCTCTCCGACCAATCGGTGCGAAACTGTGCTGGTGACATCCGTGAGCTGAAGCCCACCGTCATGGTTGGTGTTCCCCAGGTATGGGAGACCATCAAGAAGGGCATCATCAACAAGGTCGAGGCAGGAGGCGCGCTCAAGAGCAACATGTTCTGGGGTGCCTTCGCAGCTAAGGGTTTCCTCTTGGGCTCTGGCCTTCCCGGTAGTGGTCTTCTCGACACCATCGTCTTCAACAAGGTCAAGGAGGCCACAGGTGGCAGGCTCCGAATCTGCATGAACGGTGGCGGTCCCATTGCAAAGGAAACCCAGCGCTTCATCTCCATTGCCATTACACCCATGATCAGCGGTTACGGTTTGACCGAGACTTGCGCCATGGGTGCGCTCATGGATCCTTTGGCTTGGAACGAGAAGGCTCTTGGTGAGATGCCCGGATCAATCGAGATGAAGCTAGTTGATTTTGCCGATGCTGGATACTTCTCCACCAACAAGCCTCCTCAGGGTGAAATCTGGATTCGTGGTGGCGGTGTCGTTGATGGCTACCTGAACATGCCCGAAGAGACCAAGGAAGCCTTCACTGAAGATGGTTGGTTCAAGACTGGCGATGTAGGCGAGTTCAACGCCAACGGAGAAATCCGTATCATCGACCGCAAGAAGAACCTTGTCAAGACGCTTGCTGGAGAGTACATTGCGCTCGAGAAGCTCGAGTCTGTCTACCGATCTGCGCCCATTGTCGCAAATATCTGCGTCTACGCTGCTGAGGACCGCCAGAAGCCCATCGCCATCATTGTGCCCACTGAGCCACAGCTCAAGAAGATTGCCGCTCAAGTCGGCGTCACTGGTGACCACCTTGAGGAGCTCGTCCACGACAAGAAAATCAACTCTGCTGTGCTGAAGCAGCTGCAAGACGCGGGTCAAAAGGGTGGCCTTGCCAGCTTTGAGATGATTGAAGGCGTTGTCCTAGCCGATGAGGAATGGACACCACAAAACGTAAGTCTAAATGGATACTATGAACGTGGGAAACAAAATTGCTAACATTCTTCTAGGGCCTGACTACCGCTGCGCAGAAGCTCAACCGCAAGGGCATCTTGGAACACTACAAGAAGGAGGTCGATCAGGCTTACGGCAAGTCTTAGAGGTCTTGTGATATCCGGTCGAGTATGTGTGGGTGAGAGTGAGTGAGTAAGTAAATGAGGCGGGGGGGCTGAGTTGCTTTGTCTTGTAATGTTTCACGATGGGACTCTACTCTTTGACCATGAACGCTCAAATCGATGTAATTATATCCCTTTTAGTATAACTTTAACGCGCGTGGAGGTGGCGGCGTAATTTGAATCACAAAAATTTATTATCACAACACTATATGGATTACTTTAACACCAGTAAATACACCACTGGAATGCTAACTTGAAAAATGAGCGATGTTGTCAATGAACAACTCCGTCATGGTCACATCGTTCCAAGAAAAAGTAGATCATGCGCCAAAGACACACCCGCTTTACTGCTTCTTTGCTTCGCGCTCGGCCTTCCTGAGTGCGCGCTTTCGGATGTTCTCGTGCATGCCTCGGTTGACCTTGACAACCGTGTGCGAGCGCTCGCCCAGGAAGCGGGAGAGGAACCAGTGCATGAGACCGTGGCTCCAGTAAGGCGTGCTTGTAAACGCCACACCCTGTGCACCTCCACTCCTGCCAACCTTGCTCAGCGTAGCGCTGACAAACTGCTTTGGATTCGGCACAAGGGCAGATGTCTTGCGGATCTTGGACATGGCCGTGGTCACGAGGTGAGACTGGACACATTGCACGTAGACGCCGTGGGGTTCCAGCTCGGATGCGAGGGCCGTAGACCATTGCTGGAGGAATGCCTTACTTCCAGAGTAGGTTGCGAGGAGCGGGGTAGGGAAGAAGCCACCGAATGAAGCCATGGTCAGAACCAGACCACGCTTGCGAGAGACCATACCGGGGGTAACGAGTTGTGTCACGCGCAGTGTAGCCATGCAGTTGATCATGATGATGTCGGTCATTTCTTGCTTGGGCGTCTCGATAAACGGCACAGGGATGCTGTGGCTCAGTCCGACATTGTTGACCAGAATGCTGACATCGAGGCCTTCAATCAGCTTCTTCATGTTGTTGTAGTCGGAATCCTTGTTCTGGGCAAAGTCCATGGCCAGCGTCTTGACGGCGATCTTGGGGCCATATTTCGAGGTGATTTCGGCGGAGAGGGAGTCCAGCTTCGATTGCGTGCGCGAGACGAGGATGAGGTTATAACCTTTGGCTGCGAGGGACAGGGCGAATTCCTTGCCAATGCCATCTGAGGCACCAGTGATGAGGGCCCAGGTACCGCGGGGTCCGAAGGTACTGAGCTGGTGGTGGGGTTAGAATTGCTCAGTGCCCGCCGGGGTGAATTGGGAGATTGCATACCGATTTGCCTGGCAGTACAAACAAGCTGAGGAGAACTCGGACAGTGCTGATGACGGGTGCCGCAAAAGATGCAATGCCTACGAGCAAGAAGCCATAAACGGCGGCTTGCACGAATGAGTTGCTGGCATCAATGTGCACACCAAAGGTCTGGGTGAGGGCTCCCATGATGGCACCGAATTGCAGCAAAAACAAAGAGTGCTAGGGCGAAGTGACAGGGCAATGCTCAGTATTAGCAATAACAAAGTCCCCTCTGTTGGTCTTACCAGTCCCTCTCGGCCCTAAGCCCTGCCGAGGTTGGTGGGCGAACTAGCGCGGCGCTAGTGACCGGGACCGGAAAAACATGTCGCCCATGGACACTTCCTAAGCGAGTCCATAGTGGAAATTATGAACGACCGACAACGAAAGCACGACAAACCACCCGATCCGCAACCATGGCCACCGAACTCACGTACGTGCTGCGATAACACGAGCGACATCGACAATTGCTGACTGCGAAAAACAGTGTCCAGTCGGAGCGCGCTTTCCAGAAGCAGGTACTAGACGTCCACTGCGCGATTCGACCAAATGCTCGATACTAACGCGATGCGATAGCCTCACATCTTCCTTAACCACAAGGTCGGCGGACCGCGCAAGAACACCCGCTCCAGGAGATGGTACAAGGACGTTGGTCTGGGCTTCCGTACGCCCAAGACCGCCATTGAGGGTACCTACATCGACAAGAAGTGCCCTTTCACCGGCATGGTCTCCATCCGTGGCCGTATCCTTACCGGCACCGTTATGTCCACCAAGATGCACCGTACGTCAACTTTTTCTCAAGCCCTGGAGATGCGATTTGAACAAAAAAGAGCTCGACAAAGCGAAACTGCAGGGATCTGGAAGCATTTTGATGCTAACGAACTTCAGGCACCTTGATCATCCGCCGTGAATACCTCCACTTCATTCCCAAGTACTCCCGTTACGAGAAGCGCCACAAGAACCTCGCCGCTCACGTCTCGCCCGCTTTCCGTGTCGAGCCCGGTGACCAGGTCGTCGTTGGCCAGTGCAGGCCCCTCTCCAAGACCGTCCGCTTCAACGTCCTCCGTATCCTCCCCCGAAAGGGAAAGGCTGCTAAGCAGTTCAACAAATTCTAGATGCATTTTAGAAAAGGGATGGTGTAACGGTTCATGATCAGCAAAGGAAAGAAATGTGGCTGAGGCGGAGCGTGAATGGTTTTCGATATGGTCGTCAAAACTCGGCATCAGGGTTGAGGAATCTGGAGTCCAATGGGCCATGTATGTTTCTTCAGCTACGATCAATGAAAGTCCTCGAGTGGTTAAACAAACCACCGAGGCGGGTCAAAAGTCCACAAATGAGGCTGCTGATTGTACGTGATGGGTGGTGGCTTTTTTGCTTTGTGTCGTGGTCTCGTTGTGCTTCTGGCAATCAATGGAAGGTGATTGTACTATTTCAAGTGAAGGAATGCTTTGCTACGACGAATCTTACAACAGGTACCCAGAAGCGCTCAGCTGTCCCATCAACATCATGATATTAATACCAGTCCCCCAAAAAACCTCACCTCTGTCTAAGCCTTGACATAAAACCCCCACTGCGTAAACATCCAAATCAAACTCGTGTTCGCAACCACCACCGGCCCAACCAACGGCTTCCCCCACCTCGCCGTCCCAAACACCAACCACTCGCTCATAAAGTGTGCCCACGCCACCGCATAGCTCCACATGGCCAACTGATACATGGCCGAATCATTGATATTGTACGCCGCGTAGAACCGTATCAGCGACGCAAGCAGCGTCCACGTCCCAAACGTGCGTGACGATAGTGCCGTGACGTGCTTGGGGATTACTGGGGGAGGATCAATGGGCGTCGGGTTGTAGATGCGCGAGGTGAAGGCGAGTGTGGTGTAGGCTTGGATGCTATTTCCGACGGATATTACAGAGACCTTTAGGGAAGGGGGGAGAGGAGGTGTTAGTTTTTTCTTCTTTTCTTTTGCGTGTGGTTATGACATGGAGCGTGGTTGCATGTGTTGGGGCTGATGGGGTTCAGGAGAGGGGCGGAGAGGGGACGTACGAAGAGGAGCCATTTTGGGAGGAGGCCTTCGGCTTGGGGGAGGTAGGCTTGGATTGCTTCCATTTTGGAGGAGGGGGAGGGGTTGCGATTGAGAGGGTCCCGGGTGTGAGAGGGAGGGGGTTTTTAGGGAGGAGACGCGTTGGTGGTGGCCTTGCGGGTTGATGTGCTGCGGGATAGAGATGTGGTCTGTGCGGAGGGTACTTATGGTAGTAGTTTGCCAAAGTTTCTTTTGGAATTGTAAAGTTCGTTTGTATTTAAATAAGAACTACATTGGCTGCGTCTGTAGGTGGCATTTCAAGAATATGATATGTTTTTCAAATGGCCTCCAGTAGTACAGCCAGAATCGCAACGAGTTCTTTCGTCTGTGTACAGCACTGATCGCGACCTAAGATGACTCTGGTACGCTTGCTATGGAAAACATATCTGTACTCCGGCGAGCATCACACGATGCGGAAATCACGGCACATCCGACTCTTGGTAGCAAGAAAATCATAATAGCCAAGATGAACATGGAGAAGAAACGCGTTTCTGCTATCGGTGGAATGCCTGAAAGAGTTAGTTACCTCCTGACTGACCCACTGCGCGTCTCATCTCACTGTAATACTCGGGCCTTCGTCACAATGGCCATTGTGTATCTTCTTGCTGACAGTTCTTTCTTTCTTTTTTGTAACGTCCAAAATATTCAGAGGCCAATATGCGGAAACCTCTGCAAAAAGAAGATGCCGAGGCCCAGCTTGACGACGAGGCCAACGACGACAGAGACCACGCGGTCGATGGAGATGAAGAAGCACACTTACTAAGAGAAGAGATGGAATTTGAAGACATTGTTCCTCCAGCATCGAAGAAGCTGCGTACGCGTCGACGACGCTTTCTGGACTTTTGGCGCGGGCCGCAACCTCCTCGGATTCAAAGTATCGACCCGTATTTCCCATGGATTCAAAACGGCCCAGTCGAGTGGCTTGAAAGCCAGGGACTCAACAGACCCATCTCACTCGTTGCCGTGCTACTTCCCTGGCTTCTTATCTTCATCTGGTTCCTGACTGCCCAGCTACCGCTGCAAGATGGCGACGCCAACAATGTAATCAGCCTGGGCTGTGTCGATACATTGTGGGAACGCAAGAACGAATGCGGAATCGACGGCATCGACTGTCGTCCGTTTAGCAATCATTCTTTTGCTTTCCAATGCCCGGCAAAGTGTAGAGAAGTGCAACTTCTGAATCCGCACACCGTTGGACCGGTTCAAGTTAACTATCGTCCTTTGGTTGTCGGAACGGGACTTTATCGTGGTGACAGCTTTTTATGTGCCGCAGCTATCCACGCGGGGATTGTCGACAACCACCGAGGCGGCGGTGGTCGCGTCAAGCTCATGGGAGGTCATGACAATTTTTCTGGCACAAAGCACCACGGTATCGAGTCTATTCCGTTTGACTCATACTTTCCACTCTCCTTCTCTGTTGTTTTCGACGATGGGTTTCAGGTGCCAGCCGATCCCCGCTCAGCCTTGCTTCCCATCACTATTCTCTCTACAGTTGTACTCGCCATCTTTTCCTCATCGCCGAAAATCTTCTTTCCCATCTTCACCCTCATTTTCGCTCATGTGAGCTTCGTCTCCGACCCGCCGCCGGCACTGCATCTCAACACAACGGTCTTGCCAGATCACATTTCAATGTTCGCGAAGCGACTTTTGCCGGCCATTTTCGTAATGGTGGTAATGTACTCCACCACAATCAAGCGGACGCTAGCTGGGTTGAGTGCCCACATCGAAAAGGCCGTATTCTGGCTCGGGGGCTTTTGGATCGGTGCATTATCAAATTATACGTTTGACTGGATTCCGATTTCGCGACTCACCGCTCATGACCTCGAGCAGCAGCCTGGCGCGAAGCTGGCGTTGGCAATCATCGTCTTGGTATTGGCTGTGATTGTTGTGGGTCAGGCATACTGTTTCTGGCTCGAAGGCCGCCTGATCCATTATCTGGGCCTGTATAGCCTGTTCATCCTGGCAATTATTGTCTGTCTGATGATTCCAGGTGTCAACTTGCGGATCCACCATTACATTCTGGCACTTTTACTGCTTCCCGGGACGAGTCTCCAGACACGGCCTTCGCTGTTCTTTCAAGGCCTCTTGCTCGGTCTTTTCGTGAACGGCATAGCACGATGGGATTTCGATTCTGTTTTGCAAACTTCTGCTGCTCTGCGTGCCGATGCAAAATTCGAGTCGGTGGTCCCGCAGATAATGGAACCGCTCATTGAGGTAGAAAATGATGCTCTATTCGTGACGTTCAACTTTACTACGCACCCACCTGACGTTGACGGTATGAGCGTCCTTGTAAACGATGTGGAGCGCGCCCGTGCCTTCTATGACAATGAAGGTGATGGCCTTTGGGATATCTTTGAATGGAAGAGAGATGTGGATAGTGGGTTGAATGAGTACTTCCAGTGGGCCTATATACGGGACGGCTACACCCTAGATTACTCAAAACCAGGTACACTGTTTGCTAATGGTAGCTGGAGTTCTGAAATCATATAAAGGGTTCAAAACATCTAGACTTTATTCTGTCGCGTCATAGTTTCTCAACCTGAAGTCCTGTTGTGATCGTTGTCATTCTGAGTGCTTAGACACTTCTCACTCGCTACGAACCACTGTGATCCATGGTAATAAACCAGTTGACTTACTTGCATATCTGTTGAGGTGACTACAATGATCAAGGGGCGAGACAGCCTTCATGTGTATATAACATGTACCTCTGCCCGTAGTTGGTTTGTCCACTTCGAAGCATATCCTCACCAGCACAGTTTCCTGATCCATTCTCTCGGACTACTTCAAGATGGTGAGTAAGAATCTAAATATCTATCTAAATTCATATAATCGCATGGAACTATTTTATCAACATGGGAATACAAGAAGTTTCCAATCAATTACACTTCTAACCATGCATTCCAGTACGGCATAGTCGTCAACGCTACCGCTGCTCTTGCGGCACTTGATTCCCGACAGAACAAGAACTGTCCTGCTCAGCCTACTTGCCCCCGATGGAATGGCTGTGTCTCCACTGCCACTAATGGCGGTGTCTTTAAACTGACCTGCACCACTGACTTCAATGGTCCCGTCATTGGCATTGCCCAGGTAACCACAGCCTCACATATTTGCAAGGCGAGATGAAAATACTCACGAGTTTCCAAACGCGATGTAGGCCAAGATCTTCGTTGACTGCGCCGATGCATGCGCTCGCCACACATACTGCACTGCCTTCAACATGAAGGACAACTTTTGCTACTTTCTTGGCAAAGACGTTGGCACGCCCCGTATATCGTACGTACACCCTTAGCACCGCAATATCCATCACTGATCATCATGCAGAACCGAAAACGTCAATGCCGGCACCCAAGCCAAGCCAGCAACCGAGTTGGAGCCCGCCCCCGGCAGCTCCGTCTGCGAGACCAAGATCAACTGCCCTCATGACGACTACTGCTGCTTCAAGACCAATGGCCAGTCCTATATTAGTCGCTGCAACTACGACTTCAATGGTGGCGACATTGCTATTGGACAGACGAAGTCTCTTAGTGAGTGCGCAAATCTGTGCTCGCTCTTGAAGGGCTGCGTTGCTGCGACTTGGGTTGCTGGGACTTGGGATGGTGGGATGTGCTATCTCAAGAATGACCAGTATAAGGTCGTTTATAACTCTAATGTCGATAGTAAGTTTCTCTATGTTTTGTTCGAGAGGGGCTGATTGTGTTGAGGCTAATGCAATGTACGTAGGTGTTTATCTTGAACGCTAAGACGAAGTGTTTCGGACGACGAAATATTATCTTCGGCAATACAGTCGTCATCTGAGTATGTGATGGCTCGGGAGTGGAAATGGATACAGGATCTTCCTTTACAGGTATTTGTGTCTTGCTGTTCGGATTAACTAGTAGGATCGGTGGGAACTGCATCTTATTTCCAAGTGTTCCTTTGTTGTGGGAGATCATGGAAATGGATTAGTTCTCTACCGTATCTAAGTAGCCGGTTATTGAGATACTAAATAGATGGTCAAACTTATTCAACATAATCGGGTGTTATTAAAGTGAAGTGATGTTGACTGCTAGATTAAGCTTTGATAGTGCTGCAGAAGGGACTATAATATTTGGGTGAAGATCACGACAATTCGGGATAGTCATTCTGACAACTACTTTGCTAAGACTGGTAGAGTAGATTTTGAACTGTAATGAACTGTAAGGATGAACAGAAGTTGTTGGGGGTACGAGATAATAGGAGGGCCCTTATTTCCGCTTATCGCAGCTGATAGATACGCCCCACTGACCATCACGGTGACTCAACCAACCACCGCCTACATAAAGCTAAGAGCCCCGCAAGAGCCTCATTGTAGTGTTCCTACGTTCTACACCTCAATGGCGCTCCAAGACTTGATATTTGACGTCATAGGCGCTCACGTGGCCTTGACAGTCACTCTGGCTCCTCTTCTTATACTATTCATTCGTTCAATCTACCGCATCTACTTTCATCCGCTTGCACATATTCCCGGGCCCATATTGTCCAAATTGACATCTCTCTGGCTTCACTATCATGCTTACACCGGTGATGAAGCGAGCGTCATTCACAAGCTTCACCAACAATACGGCCCATACGTCCGGGTTTCACCCAACGAGGTTGACCTGAGTGACGCCGATGGCATACCCGCAATATACGTATCGAAAGGGGGTTTCCCAAAAGCAAAATGTTACGCAAACTTTGACATTGATGGCCACAAGACTATCTTTTCGACTACCAATCAGGAGTATAGGGCAAGCAGGGCGAAAGCAGTGCTGCCACTCTTTTCAACCAAGTCTTTGCGTGAGAATGAAATGGCTATATGGGGATGTGTAGACTGTGTGATGGACCGACTGAAGGAAGAAGCAAAGACCAAGAGACCTGTCAATGTGCTCAACCTCGCACGAAGCTTGGCAGTCGATGTGGTATCCACCCACCTATTTCGAGAAAACTATGACGGCGTTAACGAAAAAGGGCCGGTGTTGAGTGTCAGCGCGTTTGTAGATGCGTTTGTAGCAGTAGGCCGCTTCTTTTACCTTCCAAACATCGCATTTGTTTGGTTAGAATGGGCTGTTGAAAAATGGGCGCCTGATCGCGAGACAGATGACAGCATGTCACTGGTCGACAAGTTTGTTGCTACACTGGTTGGGAATACGACTTCGAAATCAACGACATATCCGGGACGTTTGCTGGCAATAGGACTGAGCGATTCAGAGGTCAGAGCGCAGTGCAAAGATCTCATCTTCGCTGGGACAGATTCTACAGGCATGAATCTAGCTACGATAATGCGCAGCCTCGTGCTGCATCCCGAAAAGTACCAAAGACTAAAGGAGGAGTTTACCAAGAATACCGCCCTGGGACCCGATGCGCAGGACGCTCAGGCACTTCCTTATCTCAACGCTGTGGTCAAAGAAGGTCTTCGACTTAGCATGGCAAACCCTACGCGCCTACCTCACGTCGTACCAGCTGGTGGTTGGACATTCAAGGGAACCTACTTCCCTGCTGGCTCACTCATTGGTTGTTCGGCATACGAACTACACTTCAACCCTATCGTATTTACCCAGCCCCAAGAGTTCATTCCAGAAAGATGGTTGGACACTACTGAAGACATGTCAAAATACTGGTTTGCTTTTGGTGCAGGAAGTCGAGCGTGTATCGCTAGAAACTTGGCTACTATGGAGTTACAGTTTGCGACTGAGAGATTGGCTAAGACTGGGGTCTTGGATGGAGCAAGAGCGGTTCAAAAGGAGGTTGAGATCTATGAGTGGTTCAATTCGAAAGTCAAGGGCGGCAAAATTGAGCTTGTGTGGGAGTAAACTGATTGAGAGCGCACCGTAAGAGCCTCAAGATATGAAGATATGCAGTTTTATTGTCCGATCCGTATATGTTCGGGTTTGCGCATAGATTTTATCATTTGGGCAAAATTTGAGGTGGTGAGCAGTGAGAATGCAAAGATTTCCGTGTCAGCTGACACAGAGCATGGGAGTGAGCAAATAATTTACAATCCCTCACAATCCCTTGGAGCTATCACAAATAGTTATAGTCATGCCTTTGTCACAGCCTTCTCCACACCACAGATTCAGTTTCTTTTGACAAATAATCTGCTAACCAGATTTCGCACTGCAGAATCCGAACTAGAATAACATGATAGCAATCTTGGTTGGTTGCTGTGAGCTGCCTACTCTGTCATGTGGCGTCCAGACTACGCTGAAATCAGTGCGTGGAAAAACAGATATGTACCGATATTTCGGGGCTTAGTGGAATTTCCATCCGGGATCCCGACCTTTTCCCTCATTCATCCCAACCTTATTTTTATGACATAATAGTGTCGATGGTGCGAGTCAAGGCGGCATCCGACCGGATATGCGGTCACGTTCGAACCCGTTCCACCAAACTGATATCGTTTTGAGAAACAGTAGACGGTATCTGTTAGAAGACTTTCAATAATCTTTAACTTAGTTTTTGCAGAATGCAAAAGACGCCGACTAGGTACCTGAGCCGATCTAAGCGTTCCGTGGTACAGCGTCGGGACTGACGGCGATGACATCATACTAAGATATTGCCGACAGCCGTCAGAAGCCATTTTGCGGGGAAACCCCTATCATTCCCTCATTTCTCAACATTGGCCATGCAGGCCAACACTTTCGGCGCAACCTTGCTGACGTCCGATCGTTGAACTTAGTACTTCTTAGGAACATTGCCAAGGATAAATGATGCATCTCCGGCTGTACCACCCAGCCACGTACGTGTACAGACCGGTCAACTATCCGGGTTTCGCGGTTACAATGGCAGGTTTCTTTGCAGACCTGTCTTGCACGGCCGAAAAGTTAAAAGGAGGCTAAGGCGCGTGTATTATTCATTTGGGATCTCTTTGCTTTCGTTGTGGTGAAAAATTGGCCTCAAAACAATGGCTTCGTTACGATTGTTGGCTACGGCTCTTGTGACAGCAGCACCTCTGGCAAATGCGTTGTACACTAATGGCAGCGTGATCGCACCTTGCGACTCTCCCATATACTGCTACGGTGATTTGCTCCGCGAGATTGAGCTTGCAAGACCATTCACGGATTCGAAGACGTTTGTCGATTTGTGAGTGCTGCTAAAAAATATGCCGCTCATGCCTTCTAACAAAGCGTAGACCAACAATACGCCCGTTAGACGAAGTCCTCACCGCTTTCGCCAATCTTTCTCGGCCCATCAAGAACGACACCGCTCTTAATGCTTTTCTGTCCGAGTACTTTGGAAAGGCTGGTTCCGAACTTGAGGAAGTTCCTACGGAGCAGCTAGAGACTCAGCCAGACTTCCTCGACAACGTCAAGAGCTCCACCGTAGCAGATTTCACCCGCCAGGTCATAGATATTTGGCCAGATCTGACACGTCGCTATGTTGGAGCTGGAAATTGCACTGGCTGCGTTAACTCATTCATCCCTGTGAACCGCACCTTCGTGGTCGCAGGTGGGCGTTTCCGAGAACCGTACTATTGGGATTCATTCTGGATCATTGAAGGCCTTCTCCGTACTCAAGGATCATTCACTCAAATCGCTGAGAATATCATTGAAAATTTCCTGGATCTTGTCGAAGATATCGGCTTTGTGCCAAATGGCGCTCGACGATATTATGAAAACCGATCCCAGCCACCACTTCTCACTCAAATGGTTCGCGTTTATGTAGAGTACACGCAAAACTACACGTTGCTGGAACGTGCCCTGCCTATCCTCGAGCAAGAGTATGACTTTTGGGTCACTAACCGTACGGTAACGCTTGAACGCGCCGGTAGGAACTACTCGCTAAATCACTACGCCGTATCGAATACTCAGCCACGACCGGAATCCTTTTATGAGGACTATGTGACTGCCAACAATGAAACCTACTTCAACAAACAAGGCAAAAAGTTCAACGCTACAACCCCACTTACCGAATCTGAGAAAGCTACGCTCTATTCGAATCTAGCGTCAGGTGCTGAAAGTGGGTGGGACTATACTGCTCGTTGGCTTGCAAACCCTTCCGATGCTGTTACCGATACATATTTCCCACTCCGCTCCCTCAACACTAAGGAAACCATTCCTGTAGAGCTGAATTCGATCCTGTACCACAACGAAATAACCATTGCGGAGTTCCATCGCCACCAAGGCAACTACAGCGCCGCACGAGCATGGGCTGAGCGAGCTGCACAGCGTAGCGAGGCCATGACAACGTTTTTGTGGTCTCCTGAACACTATAGCTACTTCGACTACAACCTTACATCTAGCAGCAAGAACATTTACACGCTCAGGGATAACACTAGTACACCCCTTTCGCTCCAGGGCGCACCAGAGGGCATGCAGGTATGGTTTGAGATCTCGCAGTTCTATCCATTCTGGACTGGAGCGGCGCCAGACAGCGTCAAGAACGATCCAAAGGCCATGCGGCGGGTATATGCCCGGATAGGGGAACTCTTGGAATCACAAGACGGCGCCATTGCAGCAACAAATCTTGCGACTGGTCAACAATGGGACAAGCCAAATGTCTGGCCCCCACTACAATATATCCTTATGCAAGGTCTGTTGAACACGCCACTCGAGGTCGGCGAGGAAGACGATGAGCAAACGACCGAAGACTACGTCTGGACACAAGATCTCGCCCTCCAACTTGCACAACGCTATCTCGATTCTTTGTACTGCACTTGGCGTGTGACTGGTGGAGCAACAGCGGACGTCGCCCAGCTGCCTAATTCCCAAGGTAATGGGACGATCTTCGAGAAGTACTCGGACGA